ACTCCCACAATGTCCCTCCCTCCTCGACCCCACTGGAAACCGACGTCTGGCATCCTCAGTGCCTCCCGGAGCACGTCCACAGCAGCCCTGGACAGAGAGGGTGACTTCGCCACACACCAGGTGTGCAGGCCGAGACAGGATGCGAGCACGGTCCAGCTCTCTGCAGCCAGTTCTAGGCCAGCACCCTCCCACCTCCCAGAGCTTCACGTGTGGCCACTGGTGGTTTTCAAACTGTAAGCTGAGGACCCCGGGGGGTCCCTGAGACCCTCAGGGGACCTGAAAGGACGTGGTCTTTTGAGGCCTGCACAGACACACGCAGTCTCAGGGGCGAGGCCCTACAGGCGCTGCCTGATCCTGCCCCCAGACCACAGGTGATGGGACCTGGATGGATGTGAGCTCCTGGCTGGACCACACAGAGACCTTCTTCTCGGACTTGAGGAGGTCGGCTCTCTGCTGGCCACAGGGGGTGAGGGTCAGTCACTACTACCGAGCACCCGTCCCGTCCCAGGCACGTGGGAAACCTCAGTAGACACACAAGCCGCATCCTCATCAAGCTGGACCCCGAGGGCAGAGCGAGGCCAGCTGCAAGTGTGAGGCTTGTAAACAACAACAGAAGACACATGTGACAGAGGCCTCTGTGGCCAAACCCATCTGTGGTCCTTTCGTCAACCCTTTTCCTAGCTGGGGTAGAAGACACAGAAACCGACAGGTCCATGTCAGAGAGAGCCAGGTCGTGGTGCCCGTGAAGACACTCGGCGGGCACAGTGCTCCTCACTCAGCCCCGTCTGGGCGCCCCTCAGTGTCCCCCACCCGCAGACACACAAGTCTGTCCACCGCTCAGCCCCCAAGCTGGGTCCCACGGTGGCGGGGGACGACTGGTCCCGTTCTGAGGCATCCCCAGCGTCTACTAAGCCTGCACGTACAAGGAAGGACCAGCGGCCTTTCCAAGAGGACTCAGTGGGAAGGGGCCTGCTGGGCGCCCGCGAGCCTCTGCCTCAACTCCAATCTGCCTTCCACGCGGAACGTGCCCCGGATGCAGTGTCGGTATCTGCCGAGCGAACCAAGTGAAGGCCAAGCTCTAGCTGTGCTGACTCCTCCGGAGGGCGCAGAGCAGGCAGTCCAGAGGACGCATCTGGAAGGACAAATGACTGAGCCTGGGCAGGGCCTGGGGCCCCAGCTTAGCCCAGGACCAGAACAGGAGGAATAAAAACCTCCTGAAACTGAAATTCAAATGTTTTGTGTGAGCTGAGCCTCCATTTTGTCTCACAGTGGCAGGACCAAAGAGATCTGTTGGCAGGGACTTGAGGCCTGACATTTCTCCAGCTCAGCATGGAGAAAGGACAATCTTGACACCAAAAAGGACCCTCTCATGTTGGGTGGCCTGAGTCTCTGTCCTTTGCAAGAAGAGCCTTAACTAACAAGGACGGGGACCTGGTTTTTGGACATGGGAACTCGAGACAGAGGAGGGAAACTGCAGCCAGCAGCAACACACACACACGAAGCTCGACCACGCAGGACCTGGGAGCAGTGACATCTCGGCAGCAACGAGAACAGCAGGTGCTGGATGCTGTCCCCATATGTCATTTCCTGCCGAGAGAAATGAGGCTCCTGAAGGAGATGATCGATGCCAGGCTGGGGCAAGAGAAGCACAAAGGAGCTCAGAGCACCCTTCAGCACCCAAGCAAGGAAGTGCTCAAAGAGTAACCAACACGTGACAGGGACACAGAAATGCCCAAAGGGGCTGCCACTGGCCAAATCTGGGACACGCTGGGAAGCAAAATGGATAATGACAGTAACGGATTATACCCAGTGACAAAATAATGACAGCGTGAGTCCAAACGAATATTAAATGACCAGATAATAAATAAATGGAGAAGAAAAAGCTCTTCTTCATAATAGAATGCTAACTAGTAAAGGCAAAATGAACAATGGGAGTTAAAAATCACCATTTTCCTACTGTAACAATAACGATTTGGGTACGATTCATCAGTGGATCCTAAAACTACTTGGTGAGGCCAGGCACAGCAGCTCACGCCTGTAATCCTGGCACTCTGGGAGGCCAAGGAGGGAGGATCACTTGAGCCCAGGAGTTTGAGACCAGCCTGGGTGACACAGCGAGACCCCGTCTCTACAAAAAATAAGAAAAATTAGCCAAGCGTGGTGGTGGCGCCTGTAGTCCTGGCCACTTGGGAGGCTGAGGCAGGAGGATTGCTGGAGCCCACGGAGTGCAAGACTGCAGTGAGCTATCGTCGCGCCACTGCACTCCAGCCTGGGCAACAGAGCAAGACCTTGTCTCAAAAAAGACAAAAAAAAAAAAGGAAGAACAGCTCATACTCACGAAGATCACAGAAAAAAAGTCTTCTCTCTACCTCAACCATCTAGCCTACATATTATTCTTCCTCCTTGACCTAAGCAAAATACATCAACTAGGCCGGGCGCGGTGGCTCACACCTGTAATCCTAGCTCTCTGGGAGGCCGAGGCGGGCGGATTGTTTGAGCTCAGGAGTTCAAAACCAGCCTGAGCAAGCGCAAGACCCCGTCTCTACTGAAATTAGAAAGAAATTAATTGGACAACTAAAAATATACAGAAAAAATCAGCCAGGCATGGTGGCGCATGCCTGTAGTCCCAGCTACTCGGGAGGCTGAGGCAGTAGGATCGCTTGAGCCCAGGAGTTTGAGGTTGCTGTGAGCTAGGCTGACACCACAGCAACTCACTCTAGCCAGGGCAACAGAGTGAGACTCTGTCTCAAAAAACAAAAAGAAAAAAAAAACACATCAACTAGATGAAAAATTTTGTGTTATTTATTTTAAATCCAGACCTTTCCATCTAAGACAATCCACCTAGCTGTAAAGGAGCGAGACTTGCATTAATTAGCACACGAGGAACTGCCCAGCAACTCAAGTTCTCAACTAAGTCCACACAGGAGCAGAAGCACAGCCGGACAATACGGTTCACA